CAGGAAAACCCAGGTAGAAGTACTGACAGAAATGAAGAATGGGAGAGTTAAGCTCACTCAAATGCCAACTTTTTGTGCCGCTTGGCTCTTTCTGCGCGCCGTACTTTGAAGCGCCCTGGTCACGCAGCAGTCTAGGGCTGAGAGATCTGCTGGGGCCGTGGGGCCGGAGCCTGGTGCTCTCCAGATGCCCAAACCGTTCTCTTTTGTGGATTCATCCTTAGGTGTAGCGTGAAACATGCTTCACCTGCAACTTGTCGGGTCCTGGGGGAAACCTTCATGGAAAAGCAGAGCCCTCCCTTGGCTCCGATTTCAGAGAAATCCCAAGAGTTTGTTCCCGGGGTGCTTTATTCTGCCTCGCTGTCCTGAGCCTGTCCTAAAGCTGAACCCTCCTAAAATGTCCTGCTGGGGCTTCCCACCCCTCTTCGCAGACAAAACCTGGCTCCTGTGCTGCTCGGGGTTGCGCAGTGCCTGTCAAGGAGCGTACACAAGTGGGGAACAAGATGCTCTTGGTGAAAATTGTCATGTGCCAAGCTGAACGTATGGGGACTGTAAATCCGTGTGGTCTTAATAGCACAATGGCCTCGGTGTTTGCATTTCTGGCTTCCCCGAGGATGGCTTCTCCTTGCTTGATTTGATAATCCTTTAATATCTGAACTATTTGTGGAGGTTAAAGCAAGGGCGCGGGACTCCGGTGAAGGTCAGGAAAGCTTTCCGAGCCCAGATAATTGTCAACGTTATCCAATTACACAGGAGGAGATGACTGCTGGCTCTGCCTGGACCCTGCCGCAGGCCCCCCTCCACTGGTTTGAATGGTATTTCCTTGGGAATTTGTGACAGTCAGGGAAAGCTATTCCTTCATCCTCTTGGCCGAGGTGGGGCCAGTGACTTGCTTGGCCACATACATGTTGCAGATCACTTTGAACTGAGATTTGGATAGAGAGAGGGGCAAATCCGCTGGTCTGCGGCCAGCTGCAACAGCTGACCATCCTTGTCGGAAGCGGATCCCTGGAACAGTGGCGGTCTAGGGTCTTGTCCTGCCCTGCGATGCTCTGGTTGGGATTAAATCGCTGCCTGCGTTCTCTGCAGGACAATCCCTGCTTCGACCAGGGCTCTCTTACAATTGTCTTTAAAGATCTCTTATGTTTCGGTAAGAATGAATCGTCCTGTCCTAAAATTTAGAAATCTCTGATGACTACAGACCTCGGCCCTAGGAGCGAGATGGCTGAGGATTTTCAGTCCCCGTTGTTAAGGGAAGAAATGTGCTGCAGAATACTTAAAAAATGAGACTTGATTAAGGATCCAGCTGCATGGCGCTCATCCTGATGTGAAAATAACTCTTTCTCAGCTTCCCGGAGGTCACAACAGCTTTAGCTATTGACACCTGCAGCAGCAGCGAACGCGCAGGCTGGGCAGAGGTGTGGGCTGGTAGCGGCCGTCTCTGCAGCCAGGGAGGACGCCCCGGCACTGGGTTTGTGGTGACGGGAGCTCCCCGCAGCCCTGCGGCTGGGGCCGG